CTAAGAAAACATTGCTACGATTTAAGGCTTAACATATGTTTGACTGGAGTGGAGGGAGATGTAGAGAATTTGGAAAGCTGACAATATTGAGTTATTAATAATTTGGGCAAAAGAATAACTTTATCCCCTAAGCAATGGGGAGCTATTAAAATTTTGACTCAGGCTTACCTGGTGGTGCAGTGGTTGAGAGTCCGCCTGCCGATGCAGGGGACACGGGTTCGTGCCCCGGTCTGTGAAGATCCCACTAATGCCGCGGAGCGGCTGGGCCCATGAGCCACGGCCGCTGGGCCTATGCGTCAGGAGCCTGTGCTCCGCAGCAGGAGAGGCCACAGCAGTGAGAGGCCGGCGGACTGCAAAAAAAAAAAAAAAAAAAAAAAACCACAAAAAAATTTTGACTCATTAATGTCCCAGTTTCTCACTCAAAGGAACACACATATTTGTTCCATTCATGTTACATTAAAAACAGTAACAAGGACTACCATATTAAGTATTCTCTGTAACAATCAAATGACGAGAGCTAATCATCCACATAGGGCTAATGGTAGAATGGTTTCTAAAAGTGGCTGTGTGTAGATGAGATGTTGAGTCATCAATTTAGGAATATTAGATTGACCTTTCTTTGCTCAAAACCCTTTGATTCTGCTACTTATTGAATAACACATGGAACTTTTTATAGCAGCATTCAAAATCCAAAATCCAGCCTGCAAATCCATCCCATGCCAGTACCATTTAATAGAAATATAATGCAAACCACATATGCGATTTAAAATTTTCTAGTAGCCACATTAAAAAAGTAAAAAGAAGAAGATAAAATTCATTGTATATTTTATTCAACTCAATATATCAAAATATTATTTTGACATGTAATTAATACAAAATATTATTAAGATATTTTACATTATTTTTTTCCTACTAAGTCTTTGAAATCTGATGTGTATTTTACACTTACAGCACATCTCCATTAGGACTAGCCACATTTCAAACACATGTGCCTGGTGGCTATTATATTGGACAGTGTAATTCAATACAGTGCCAATCTTCTATATGGTAATCAACATTTCAATCATAGGAGACTCTTTCTTTCTCTGATTTTTAGACAGTCTTCTAATTCTTCCTCCCTCTCCTCATCATTTATGCCATATTTCTTCAAACGACTTCTCCCACCTCTGCCTCTTGAAATCCTATTCATTCTTAAAGGCTCCATTCTTCTACAAAACCTTCAATGATTATGTTAAATGGGAAGGAAAGATTAATTCAAGAACCTATAGACTCACAGTTTATAGATTCAATAATAGAGCCATACGTTTGTTGTTCAATTTGTAATTGAAAAAGTAAAATCGGATCTCTGCATTACAACATGCACAAAAGCTATCATAAAGAAAATAATTAATAAATTTGACTTCATTAAAAAACTTCTGTTCAAAGGACAACATTCAAAAAGTGAAAACAAGCTGTAGATTTGAAGATGTTATTTGTAATACATATAATTAAGAAGGATTAATATCCAGATTATATAGGGAACTCATTAATCAATAAGAAAAAGACAAACCAATAGAAAAATGGGCAAAAGATATGGACAATTTATAGATGAGTAGTCAATAAATATGAAAAAATACTCAAACTTACTAATAATCATGGACACATAAATCAAACCACCACGAGAAATCATTTCACATCTATGTTTAAAAAACCTTGTTATTATACAAGTGTTGGTGAAAATGTGAAGCAACAGAATCATTACACACTCCTTTCAGGAATGTATACTTCTACAATCACTTGGAGACACTTTATCACGATCTAACTGAGTTGATAATGCGTATATTACCCAATAATTCTACTCCCTAAAGTACACATAGAGACACGTACAAGAATGTTGATAGCAGCATTGTTTGTAGAGCAAACAATAGGAAACACCTAAATATTTGTCAAAGGAAGAGATGGGATTAAAAAAATGGTGGTGCATTCATTACTGTTATGGGCTGAACTGTGCCCTCTCAAAATTCGTATGTTGAAGTTCTAAGCCCCAGTACCTCAGAATGTGACTCTATTTGCAAATAGGCCCTTTATAGAGATGACTAAGGGAAAATGAGATCATACAGGTGGGCCCTAATCCAATATGGCTGATGTCCTTATGAGAAAAGGAGATTAGGACACAGACAATGTGCAGAGGGACAAACATGAAGACAAATTACAAAAAAATTTAAAGCATAAATTATTTGAAAGGAATATATACAGGTATATAACCCTAAAAGTCTAAAGAAATGCATGGCAGGGGTAAGTACCAAACTCAGGATAATGGTTCCCTCTGCAGTTGAAGGAGGGAGATGCCATCGGAGAAGGGACTGCGGGGAACTTTTTTGTATAGGTAAAGTATTGTTCTATAGGAAGAATGGTGGGGAAAAGGAAATCATATTCTTCATTGTACCTTTTTGTATGTCTGAAGTAACTCCTTAGAACTTTTTTAAAAATTTATTTACTTTTGGCTGCATTGGGTCTTTGTTGTTGCACGTGGGCCTTCTCTAGCTGCGGTGAGAGGGGGCTACTCTTCTTTGCGGTGCGCGGGCTTCTCACTGTGGTGGCCTCTCTCGTTTCGGAGAACAGGCTCTAGGTGCGCAGGCTTCAGTAGTTGGGGTGCATGGGCCCAGTTGCCCCGTGGCATGTGGGATCTTCCCGGACCATGGCTCGAACCCGTGTCCCCTGCATTGGCAGATAGATTCCCAGCCACTGCACCACCAGAGAAGCCCACTCCTTATAACTTTTAAGGAAGGCTCTAGACCAATAACATTGGCTTCTAATTCCTTTAAAGCTGCAGTGGGCCTTAGAAAAGTCATCTGATTCAGCCATTTTATGTTACAGATTGGGAAACTGAAGACCTATGTAACTTTCTCGTTTCTAGAATAGCTAGACTAAACCCAGATTTCCTGTTTCTTTATTGAATAAATGGTTTGTGAGCACAGTTCTTAGAGAAGGAAGCGGTGATCACTGAGTCAGTTATGAGCTTGTTAAGCCAATTTCATTTTCTTTTTTGGCAAGATTACTTGACTGGTAGAAGAAATACTATAGTTATGATTTGTTTTCATGATAGCAAGTCATTTAATGAGGTTTTATGAACTCCTTGGGAAAGGTCAGAGAAATGTTTCCAGATGTTGACCTCTAGTAGGTGGGATAATTGGTTTAAGAACAACCCTGGAAGAGGAACAATTAATCATGAATCAGAGTCAACCATGAGGGGAAAAGCTCTACTCTTAATCATGTCCTATTCAACATATTTACCAAGGCTTTAAATGAAAATAAGTTAGATAAGTTAATCAACAATTTTCAAAATGCAAAAGTGAAAGAGCTAATCTCTCCCGACTCTCCAGACAAGGCTAACTGCAGCTCATCATTGCACTTATCACATTCTCTTTACCTGGTCAGTCTGAGGCCTCCTCTAGGCAGATTCCAGGTGTCACTTGTTTTAGAATCCTCTACACTGGTGCTTGGCACACAGCAGATATTCAACAAATACTTGTCGACAAACTGAATCGCATGACAGGATCACAATTCCAAGAGTCCAGGAGACAGTAGGAAAGGACCTAAAGTAACAAGGTACTATTTAAAAGATACAAAACAAACTCCTGTTTGGGATTTTTTCAAAAATTAAAATTAATTGCAGAAAAAGAGAGGAGAAATAGTTGACAGTGGTTCACCTAAAAAAGCTCTCTGGGAGCAACTGTGAAAAAAGAATTAATTCTTCAGCTTATTTACAAAACTCTGGATCTCCACCTAAGTCGGAGGTGGTGCCAGAAATAGAGCAAGGTGCAATGTGCAAATTAAGAGAGGTCATTGCCCCATTTTATTTTGCATGCGTGTGTATCTGGTTCTGGGGGCCACATTTTAAATAGGACAAAGAGGTACTTGTTCAGAAGGGTGGCAAGGGGGCTTGAAGCCATGGCAAATAAATAGTTAAAGGTTCTGAGGGGATTTTCAGCCTGCAGAAAAACAAAAGAGGGTTAGAGATGGAACATGATAACTGTCTGCAAAAAAACCCAATAGCGGCTTCCCTGGTGGCGCAGTGGTTGAGAGTCCGGCTGCCGATTCAGCGGACATGGGCTCGTGCCCCAGTCCGGGAGGATCCCACATGCCACGGAGCGGCTGGGCCCGTGAGCCATGGCCGCTGAGCCTACGCGTCTGGAGCCTGTGCTCTGCAATGGGAGAGGCCACGGCAGTGAGAGGCCCGCGTACCGCAAAAACAAAACAAAACAAACAAACAAAACAAACCAATAGTACTTATATTGGAAAGAATAAAGCCTTACTCTTCTCCAAACTACAGAACTGAAACCAAGAGAAATGGCAAAATAACATATTTCAGCCCAGAAATTCCTCTAACACCTAGAATCATCCTAAAATAAACGAAATGAGGTATTGGGGGGAGGTCATGCCAGTTGGCACTGGCAGAGGTTGAAGACAGCCTGCCTGAGAGGTTTGAAGGTACTTTTGTATTGGGAGAAAGCAGGCTAGATGACTTGGTTGTGTGATCCAAACAAGCTCCACCTCATTGTCCTTTGCATCTCTCTTTTAGAATTTCTTGTAGTGATTCGTGTATATACCAGGCTTATTCTCACCCAATTAGCGACAACACTAGGATGCTGTTTCTCCGCTCCAGCCACCTCTGGGGAGTAAGAATGAATAAGTTAACACTGAGAAACGGAGTGGCTTTTCAGCTTTCTGAAGAGCTGAAAAGGTGGCCTCTGATTATGCTTTTAGCTTTCTCCCCTCCCTGTTTTTTGATCTCCCAGGACATGTTTATGAATATCACAAGACCCTGCAATTTCCTCAAATGTTCTCTCTTGAAACCTCACAACTCTTAGTGGTCCAGGTCCTGCGACTCTCTCTCCCCGGACTGTGTCTACTCTATGGTAGGGACGGCACAGCCTTCTGGCTCTCTAGCCATCCAGTTGGCCCATCTATGGTTTCTGGAGGCATCACCGGAAGCTCTTATGGGAGATGGGTTGGCGAAGCCGGAAGTTGCGCCCTCACTACTCGCCGTTTCAAAATGCTGCTGAGGCCTTAGGGCCTGTGACTGACGCCCCCTCCCCCCCGGGCTCTGCGGGGGAGCGACTCATGGAGCGGCCGTAAGGTGTGGCTTTTGGGTTTAGTCGGCGGGGTGCCGGGAGGCTGGGGGTGGGAAGTGGAGAGTGGGGAGCGGGCGCGGCGCGGCCAGTTCTGCAGGCCCCGGAGCCGGGGTAGCCGGCGGGAGGAGCTAGAGGCGTGGGTGGCGGCGTGGGGACGGTCGCACAGGGCGGAAGAAGGACTGGTGGAGGAAGGGTTATAAGATGAGAATAAGCAAAGGACAGAAATGGAGGTGGAGTGACGTGATGCAGGTCGGCCAACAGGTTACAAACCAAATCGAAATAGATTGACGATGCTTAACTGGACGCAAAATAGGATGACACTTTGGAGGAAAGGTGGGAAAGAGGGAGGCGGAAAGAGGGACATTGAGGTGTCTTCAAGATTTTAAGGTAGTAATTTTCAGGGCTGCGGACCATCTGTCTCAGAGGCACTTGAGTGCTTGTTTGAAGAACGCTCATTTGGGGGCCACACCCAGACTTCCCCTAACAGAATACCAGGAGCTGGGGCTCGAGAATATGTATTTTAATCAGCACATTTCCCAGTTGATTCTTGTACACCCTCAAGTTTGAAAACCACTGTTTTAAAGCGACACCCGGAGAAAATGCGGCTTCTGTTTTCCTTCATCCGGGAAGATCTATTAGTTATGAAGCTGCTCCATGCTTTGGGATGTTGGCACGGGGAACAAGTATCAAAGATAACTTGGTACCTTTTGGTATTAAATTTTACTACATCTCAGTTTGGGTTTAGTCCCCTCCCTCCTCATACATTCCTGCTATGAAAAGTTAATTTAGTTTAGAAGTATTTATTTCGGAATATTTTGTTTCACAGTACGGTCAGGATCACAATATTTTAAAGTTTTTTTTAAAAACTAAAATACTACTTGCTTGTTGTTAAAAAGGAAAAAAAAGCACACAATACAGAAGTGTGTAAAGTTAATTGTCCATTAACTTGTCCCTAACCTGTCCTCTCCTCAAGCTAGCTACCCTTAACTACTTGGTATTATGTCCTTCCTGACTTTTTCCACACATATTCGCATTTTTAAACAACAGTGGGGTCATTTTGTGTCTACTGTTCTGTACCTCAAGTTTTTCAGATAACATCAGGGACAGCTTTCCATAAAGTCTAAATACAATATTTTCTTTTAAGGGCTTGCGTAGTATTGAATTATAGGGTTGTACAAGAATTTCTTTAACCAGCTCCCCATTGATGGATTTTTAGGTTGTTTCCTGGCATATTGTTTGTTTTGCAAACTGCTGGAGCATACTCTTGCTACACACTTGACCTTTTTAGATGTGTAACAGACCTGGTAAGAACTAAAACAACATCTGAATGGTAGTTTCTTTTTTAAAAGAAAACAGTTGGTTTTATTACTTTTACATATTTAGTTGAAAGACAGTCAGACTGGTGTTTAGTAGAGGTCCTTAGGGCTTTAAAGAATTGATAAGAATGATTAGTTCTGCTGACTTCTGACAAGAAGCTTTTATTTTAATGTCTTTAAGTCACAGTTATCTTCAAAGGTAGAGATTTGAAGATGAGGTATAGGAGTCTTTTGGACTAAGTGTAGGGTAAAAACCACTCTTTTGTTATCATTGAGAGATGTATAAGACTGTTCCTGCTCTCTATGATTTCAATCCAGTAGGGGGACACACATAAAAACATAATGTTGTGAGTGTTTTAATAGAGGTGCTCTGGTGTCATCAGCTTCCTTTGGGGAGTCAGAAAAGCCTTGACCAAGGAGGTAACTGGAATAGTATTTCCAAGATTACTAGTTTTTTCAAGATAGAATAGATAAACACATGGAATTGTTGTCATTTCTTACACATTTGTTGTGTACCATTCAATAAGGTAATTAAAACCTACTGTTTTAATTGAATATTGTTTTTCTATTTTCCCACCTTTTTAATGAAATATTTTAAAGTTTCACAGATGTGTCATTTTATTTACCTTTAAATATGTCAGGATGTAGCTCTTATCAGGTTAGGATTTTTAAAAAATTTACCACAGTGCCTTTCTACTACCATTTACAGCTTCTTAATAGTATCTGATACCTAGTACATAATTCAAAATTTCCTGATTGTTTAGGAAAAAATGACATTTTACAGATGGCTTGTTTGAATTAGGACTTGAACAGGGTCCACACATTATATTAGGGTAGTGTTTTTTAAGTCTCTATAACAGTCTGTCCACTTCAACAATAATGCTGCACCCAAGACCCTGTAGAATTTCCTACATTCTGGTTTTGGCTAATTGCCTGCTTTTAGTATTGTTTAGTTATTCCTCCATCCTCCATTTTTTCCCCCTACAAACACATATTAGTTAGATCTAGAAGCTTGATTAGATTTGGATTGGGGGTGGGGGGCCAAGAATACTTCATAGGAGGTACTGGGTGCTTCCTGTTGCTTCACACAGGAAGTACACGATGTGTGAATGCTGCTCTTTCTAGAGATAAATTTGGTCAGTGGGTCAAATGCTGTAAGCCTGCTCAATGTGTTTTTAAGTCCCCCCTTCCCCCAACCTTTCACTTATATGGTTTTAACACCTATTAATGATTGTTGAGGAGATGACATTTAACTGGAGACTGGAAGGTTTAGGATGAGTCAGTCTTGTACAGAGAACTGTGTTCAAAATGAAGGAACAATGTGTGCAAAGGCCCGGTTTGAGAAACTAAAAGATCAGTGTGGATGAGGTTCAGGGAGCGTGGGGAAGAGCAGTGTAAGTTGGAAAGACTGGCAAGGTGCTGAGGGCCTAGGCTCTTTATGTTTTGAACAATAGCAAGCAGTGGAGCAGGGCCTGGCAGGGTAGGATTGTTTATTTTATTTTGGTTTTTTAATCCTTCTGGCTGTAGTGTGGAGTTTGGATTGAAGTGGGGTTAGAGAGACAGTTAAGAGTCTATTGCAGTGACACAGGCAAGAAATAACATTTTTTGATTTGGGGAATTGGTGGTGAAGATGAAGAGAGGGCATGGTTTTGAAAGATTTAGGAGTTAAAATCCATAAAGTTTGATTATGTGATAATGGGTGAAGAGGGAGAGATCAAGATGACTCTAACTTTCTGGTTTGAGAAACTGAATGTAAAAGGATAAGTTTTAGTCTTGGGCAAGTTATCTGACTTTTTTTTTTTTTTTTGCGGTACCGGGGCCTCTCACTGTTGTGGCCTCTCCCGTTGCGGAGCACAGGCTCCCGACGCACAGGCTCAGCGGCCATGGCTCACGGGCCCAGCTGCTCCGCGGCATGTGGGATCTTCCCGGACTGGGGCACGAACCCTTGTCCCCTGTATTGGCAGGCGGACTCTCTACCACTGCGCCACCAGGGAAGCCCTATTTGACTTCTTTAAGCCTCAGTTTTCTGTATTAAGGAGAGGCTAACAGTACCTAACCCTGTTGCACTCAAAACAGATTCTAGGTGGAAAAGGGACAAGATCTTGATTTGGGTTCAGAGCCCATCAACTGACTTCATTTCTCACATACATCCGAGAACAATTCCTTTCCTCATGATATTTTTCTCTCCTATTCTTTCCAGTGTTCTCCCATTTTAAAGTCCTCCCACTGCTATTGCCATTCCCTCTCATTCCTCCTCTGCCTTGCAGTCAAAAGTAATTTGTCTTTCTCTGAACTTCTATGGCCCTTATATCAGTATCTTTTTAATGGCACAACACTTTCTACCAGATGTTAAACCCTTATTGAAGTTTAAATTCTTCAGAGCTGCCAAGCGGTCAAGTCTTGTTCCTACTAAGATGCTGAACTGGCATGACTGCTGACTCCTTTCTCTCAAATCATCCCTAGAGGGACTATAAAAGGAAAATACTGTGAGAAACAAATGGGTGATGTGGACTTTTTTGAACTGCTTTGTGGGGTGGAGGTGGGGGTTGGGGGAGGGGGGGTCTTTGGCCTAGGACAGGAGTCAGCCAGGCTATAGCTGTAGGAGAGTACAGCTGTTGTGGAAGAAGGGAACTATTGGAATACTGCTCTAGTTGCTCTCCTGCCTCATTACTTTGGAATTACCTTTTTCTACACTTGCTGTGACTCAGCCCTAGTCCAGCTCTCCTTAAGAGTAAATCAGGGCATTGCAGAAGCATATACTTGTGAGGAGGAGTTGAGAAAAAAAACAAGTGATGACTGACTTTAGGCAGTCACTTCTCTGTCTGTTACCTTAATTCTTAGGTCTCCCCAAATCCCTATCATAATGGTGTATCTCCCTGGGGAACAAAAGGTGAATCCTTGGTCTGAGCTGTGATTGTATGGGATGGATAGTGATTGTGGTTATCTGGTGCTTGGGATTTTCTTCTTTAGTGTTCATTTCCTACCTTACTCCAGCTTACTGTGGCTGATTTTGGCTGGAATTTGGTCTTCTCCCTTATGCTTTGCCAATCAGAATAGCTGCTGTCCTCTAGGGAAAAATAGCAGTGTTGAAGAGCACAGGTATTTCAATAGGAGAACAATATATAGGCTTCATTGGAACATAAATAATAGAACAGATGGATCAAGAGTTTAAAGTTAGGGCTTCCCTGGTGGCTTAGTGGTTAAGAATCTGCCTGCCAATGCAGGGGACACAGGTTTGAGCCCTGGTCTGGGAAGATCCCACATGCCGCGGAGCAACTAAGCCCATGCTCCATGACTACTGAGCCTGTGTGCCACAACTACTGAGCCTGTGTGCTACAACTACTGAAGCCCATGCACCTAGAGCCCGTGCTTCGCAACAAGAGAAGCCACTGCAATGAGTAGCCCTCTCTCGCTGCAACTAGAGAAAGCCTGTACACAGCAATGAAGACCCAGTGCGGCCAAAAATAAAGTAAATAAATAAAATAAATTTTTAAAAAAAGTTTAAAGTTAGACTGAGAATCATTCTAGAAGAAGTAGGGATGATATTAACAACTTGAAACAAGAATAAGCAGAGGCTGATAGAACCAAGCAGAAATAGTAGCCTTGAAAAATATAGTGGTTGAAATAAAGAACATCACATCAGATGGATGTAACAGAATGGATACAGTTGAGTGAATTAGAATTCTAGA